CTGTGCCGCCAATGGGGAGAACCCTGAGGACAATGGGCAACAGAGACAGAAGGTTAGGGTGGTGGTGCTGTCGCTATGGTGGCTGAACCTGCCAGTGATCAGACACAGAAACACACCGGGCAGCTCATGGTGGGCAGACGCACATGCAGCCACAAGCTTCAGGCCTTCATCACCAGGGGCTGTGATGTTTTAAACTCTGCTAACACGCTGGAAGGTGCTAGTGGATGTGACTGAACAGAATTTAAAACAGACGAGTCTCTCATATCCCAAATGCTTGGCACCAGAAATGCCTCAGATTAGAATATCTTCATGCATGTGCAAGCAATAAGATGGATGTCTTGGGGATGGGGACCTAAGACTACACACAAAAGTTACCTGTATTTCTTTCTACTTTATACACATGGTCTGAGGGTGAACCTATACAGTGTTTTTTAGCATTGCCGTATTTCAGCGGTGACCTGTGCCATGAGGCCAGGTGAAGGATTTCCCACTTATAACACGTTAACATTAAAAAAGGTGTCAGGCTTTGGAGAGTTTGGAATTTGAGAATTTTAGGTTAGGGGGTCTCTGAGCTGTAATGGATGTGTGGACCTGTCAGCCAGGATAACAAAATCACAGGTGGGAGATGCCCATTAGAACTTCATTTGCCTCCAGGTTATAATGTGTTATTTTAGAAATGCTATTGACACGGTTTGTATCAAGCAGGCTTTGTATAGAGTTACAAATATTTTACCTGCAAGAATGAACTCCATTAGCATCAGACAGGGCCAGGAACATGAACGAAACATGCGACAACAGCCAGGAGCCAGACCAACTGATTAGATCAGAGCCAATTCTCTCCTGAGACCCTCCTGCTCTGATTATAGAAATGTTGGCTTTAATCTTCAAACTCTCTGTGCCTGGTTTTGCTTTCACTTCTGCGAACCAATGATCTCTATGATGACCAAATTTAAATTTTCCCAGTTTTTCTGTTTGTTTGCTTTTTTTTTTCCTGATAACTGAGAATTCAGAAAAGCATAGACTTTCAAAGAAATACATCAGTGGGAAGCCTGCCCAAGAATCTCCAGGGTTTAAATGAGGCAGTCTGGTCCCCTTCAGTACCCGCCCTGCAGGACACTACCCTACCGTTACCATGTGCATGCATTCAAATGCTCACTGAAAGGCAGATTAACCAATGTGTCCCTGCATGCTTAAATGTGAATTAACTTTTCTCTCCCGTTTCTCCTACATCGATTTGTGTGTCTAGTCTCCGGCTTTCTGTGAGCTTGTGTACTAACTGGGGGAGGCACCCTGCGCCCCATCCCTACCATTTCCTGGTACCTACAAGCCTAGCTTGTAGCCAGGCTATTTGCTAACTGCCTCACCTATAAAGCAAGCCACATCAGCATGCTGACATGCAATCATACGGATGGGTCTACACCAAATTCCGCCCCCAAATTTAAATTCTCCATCCTTCCTGGAATAACATGGCATATGGTCCCAATTTTCAGTCTCTCTCTCTTTTTTTTCAAACAAAGATGAGTGATTTCACAAGACCCCCAGGTCTTACTGTGCGTGTTTAATAATTTATCACTAATTGTCTGTGAAGTACATTGCTGCTTCTGTCTCTCTCTGTCCTCCTCCCTAGAAACTTGAGCTTCGATCTATAATTAAATAGCAGACTCCATTTTGCTTTATAGTGCAAATCGTGTGCTGGGGTCAGATCTGTTCAACTCTTGTCCTCACAGATCCTTCATCTTGCAAAAGCAAGTATCTTCCCAGTGTCCTTCTCCAAATAATGGCCCGGCTCTTCAAAACCTACACCTCTTTAATTGTGTTACTATGGATTTTTTTTATTAGCACAAAAGCCCCTGGAAACCCCTATCTAAAGGTCATTTTGCTAATAGGGTTTGCCTTTTGTTTTCCTTTTAGAATCTAACCTCCATCAGGTCTTGGTCACACTGCCCAAGATTGCCTGACATATGTACTGCTCTCTCCTCAGTTAAAACTCTGGCCACAGAATCGGTTGATCTTTCCCGCAGTAGCTGTCCCCAACTGCAGTACAGCCCTGCAACTGCAATTTACAAACTTGTCAAAAATATAATATCATCCTCGCTTTCAATACGGCGAACACTGCCGGGGACAGAAATCTTTGGTTAATTTTTCTCCATAATACATCCACAAAGTGCATTGGAAGGTGGTTGGGTATTTCTCATCTACTTAAGCTCATACATAGAATTTACAAGCCTACTTTTAAATACTAAAAGAATGTAGGGAGAGTTCTATGTACCCATGGCGATGACCACACCCGTTTGGGCGTAGTCAGAGGTACAGGGGATAAAAGAGCTGGGGGGAGGAAACCCTTTGCCTTTTGGGTTCTGGTTGCAGTCCAGAGAGCAGTGTGCGGGCCTTTGGTTCTCTGCTTTCTTGGCATCTCACATAAGTGATTTCACCCTCAATAAAATATCACAGGACATCCCTATTTTGTATAGCTTAATATTTCCGCATTAAAAGAATCTAGCCTCTCACGCACCATACACACTGGCATTTTGAAATTAGGCAGCTCAAGCGCCCTCATCTTAAGTTTAACCCTTTTCTTTTCTTAGCTTATTGAGACAAGTGTTTCATATGCCCCAGGTTGGCCTGGAACCCTGCACTACATAACCCAGGAAGACCATGAACTCCTGATCTCCCTGCTGCCACTTCCCAAGTGCTGCAATCACTGGCATGGGCCATTACACCTGCTAGGGAGAGCTCCTCTGTCCCTGGAGACCTTTGGAGTCCTCTCTTCCTGTGAACTTCTTCAGAGCGACTCCACCTCTGCATTTTGTCTTGATGCATGCATGCTAATGTTTAAGTATATTTTATTTATCACATTTACCTCTCTATAATGAAAAAACATATGGATCATTTTGGTGTGTGTGTGTGTGTGCTGCAAGACATGGAACTCAGGGCCTCACACATACTGGGTGATCACTCTGCCACAGAGCTATATCTATAGCCCTTAATTATTTTTTTAAATTTCCCTGGGAGAACCGTAAATCCCTACATATCATATTTTAATTATGTATTGGTATCCTGGTTATAATTCGCATCATGATGAAAGCAGGAAAATGTCAGGCACCAAACATGAAGGTGTGCGTGTTACGAAGTGTGGCTGGTCCTCCACCTTCTCTTAGGAGGGTAAGATAGTGTGCCACACAATTCCAAGTCTGGCCTCCACCTTTCAGATTGTTCCCATGGGTGTGAATGGATGGGTGTGTTTTACAGGCACGGCTTACTGCTTTGACCACGAATGTCAGAGGCAACTGCCTTGCAGGGATCTGCCATCTCATGTGATGTTTTATGATCCATAATCCGACTAGTCAGCCAGGGTTGACTTTAACTTGGACAGTCTTTATAGCAACCTGCCCTTCAGAGCCCCCTCTCACTATAACCATTTTACAGCAGGAAACAGCTTTACGAAGACACACAGGAGGACTACTACTTACATGTCAAACTCTTCCACTTACAGGAACTTTGCTCAGAAAGAGTTAGGAAAACTATCTTAATGATGAACTGTTTATAAAGTGTATTTTCATCTGTCACTTTCCCAATATATAATTGTGTGTGCATCAGATTCCCATGCATATATACTAATATACATACACATATATGTACATACACACCCTGTGGATGATATACATATGAGAGACCACACACACACACACACACACACACACACACACACACACGTCAAATGTCAGGTTGAGATTGAGAATTCTGTTCATGGAAACATAGCCATAACAGATGAAATTGACAAAGACCAGTCCTCACTGTGGTATCGATTAATTGAATATGATTTCTCATGCCAGTTCAAATAAACATTCTATGAATCCCTCTGGATAGTATTTCACTTCTTACTCAGAACTTTAACATAGAGTACCACCCAGTAGTCCTAACACCAGGTTGTATTCTTCTTGGAAATAGAAGACAGGCATTGCCAGGAAGCCCTCCTCAACGGCTGTGATGCCTTAATTGACAGAGGCATCGCAACGTGGACACGTCAAACTGTCTTTTGCAGGAGTCTCAGACGTGCACTGCAGGGACACAATCAAATCACAATGCAGGAGCATTCCTCATCCAAACGAGGGACGGACGGATGAGAAAAAACTCCGGAATAAATCAATGTGGCGTCTTTACCAAAAGTGTGCTCTTGGGTAGATCTTCAAGAAAGTGTCCAGGTGCCAGCAGAGGCTTCACAAGCCATTCATTCTCTCTTTGGAAACCATGGTGCCCATCACCCACTGGAAGGCTCCATTCCCTGAAAACTGTGGTGTTTGTACCCCCGTCAGAAGGCTTTCCCCTCCCCATTGCAACACATATAAAAGGAAATCAGCCACCGTTACTTGACACAGTGGCTTCATGACACCATCCCGTCAGGTACATGACATGACGGTCCAAACCTTTTTAAAGGTCCACCGATCCAAACTAGCAATAGTTTCTGAACAAAGTCTTCCTCACACAAAGTCACTAAACTTCTCATTCAGTAACTCAGAAGGCCATTTCTAAATCACCCAAGTCCATCTTTGTAACTGGCAGAACGTCATCAGTCTAGCTTTCTTGGTCCTTCCCCCAGCACCTGCAGCCTTATAATGTAAACACGGGCGTGGAGCAGAGCAGGGATGGTGACATCAAGATGTGTGTGTGTGTGGGGGGGGGAGTCTCACAATGTCCCCTGCTAACTGAAAGCACATGGGATTAAAAAAAGTATTTTTGCAAATAAAAAAGTTGGGAATGTCCTTTACCCCTATAATAATCACAGCCCCTGTGCTGCGAAGATGCAATGGAATCCTGGGCAGCGTCCATGTGAGCATTCTAAATGCAGCACCGGCAAGCAGAAGGGTGCAGAGGTCAAGCTCGGTGTGGCGTGGGCATTTCAATTCACAGGGTTTGGAAAGGGTAACGGCTGGCTTAGCTGGTATATGCAGATAGACGTCTGGCTGTCAGGGGCCATTATTTCATAGTGTCCATGTACTCACCGCCTCGGTGTGGACGGGGTGCACCGCAAAGAGCACGGCTGTGACAAAAGCCAGTCCGCGGTTCTTGAAGACTGTTTTATCACAGGTATACATCAGCACGAGGGTCACCAGGCAGTGCAGAATGACATTCACCGCATGGAAGTAGAAAGGGTTCATGCCAGTCAGAAATATGTTTAGCCTGTAAAAGAGTAAAAAACCAAAAATTAGAGGGGCCTGTGCAAGACAGGATCACGATGTAAAAGCACAAGAGATCCATCCGTCATTCAAGAAGACAGGCTATTTGATGGTAATAGCTTCCAGTAACTCTCAACACTTTATGCCTGTGGACGGTCCAGCTTTTTTTCCTATCTCAGAACTGGCTCATCTACAGAAATCAATGCAGAGACAGGGCACTGCTATTCGGGGAACTTGGACCACTCACAGACATGCCTCACTCCACGACTCACGAAAAGTGCTCCCTTCCTATTCTTCTTCTGTCGACTTCTAGCCCAGGGGAGGGTGCCAAGTACTGGTGTCAGAGTGCCCGGTCACTGGAGAGGAACAGAAACCAGGAGACGGCGACTGTGTCTCAGCCAGGATGAGCCAGACACGAGCATACGCTCTCAGCCATGGTACCACCAGGAGCCATGTTTCTGGATTCCCCATCTGGAAGTGAGTCTCGTTGCCACCCCACGCAGTGCTCGTTAGCAATGCTTGCTGCCACAAGGCTGAGGCAACACCAAGAACCAGCTCACCGTGGGGTCTCAGCATCTGTAGTGTTTTCCCTCACGTTTACTTATTTACTTTGTGTGTATGTCTAGGGGAGAGAAGTGAGGGGGGGTAGGCACATGTGTTCACGCACGTATGACACTGTTCACATGTGGAAGGGAGAGGACAGATTATGTGAGTCCTTCTTCCCCAAAGAGAGAATAAAAGTTCCCTCTTCCTACCATGTGGGCCTTGGGATCAAACTCAGGTCATCAGGCTTGGCAGCGAGTCTCTTATCCACCGAGCCATCTGGATGGCCAGGGTTTGTTTTATTAACACAATCTCCCACTGATCTGAGAATCTCCTTGTTGAACTGTGATAAGCCAGCTAAAGGAGAACCACAAACAGAAGGGAAACCAGGTGCTCAACATGATTTTTAAAAATAAATAAGTAAATAAAAATAAAACCTTCATGGCACCAAAACATACAGCAGATAACATCTGAAGGTCACGTTTGATAACAGGATGCAATGCCCCCAACTAAGCCTGTAGATCAGTGGCTCTCAACCTTCCTAATGTTTCGACCCCTTAATACGTTTCCTTGTGCTGTGGCGACCCCCCCCAGCATAAAATTATTTTCATAACTGCAATTTTGATACTGTTGAGAATTGTAATGTAAATAACCGTGTTTCTGACGGTCTAAGGTGACCCATGTGAAAGGGTCATTCAACCAAATGGGTCACTACCTACAGGTTGAGAACTGCCGATATGGAATTACAGGAAAAAGCAAAACAAAACAAAACAAAAACCACGTTTCTCAGCGAAACCTCTTGCTAGGCATGGTAGCAAAAACTGGTAATCCCAGCACTAGAACGGTTGTGGAAAAAGGACTGGTGTGAATTTGAGGCCAGTGTGGGTTACAGAGTAAAGCAAACAAAATATGCACCTATCCAGGGTGCCTTAGCGGCAGTGTGCCCACAGCAAGTAGTTTGATGGTCTACAGCTGACTTCCCTCCAGGCCGTCAAACAAAACAGCAATGGTAGGTCTTTATCCTAGGGCTCTTGACCTGCCCCTTACAAAATCGCCCTCTCCTCCTAAACAACCAACCAAGAATGTACAAATCACCCTTAGAGATGACATATGTGGATCTAAATAGCCAGCGTGACTCACACATAGCTTGGACCTTCAAAGCTATAAGCATCCCAAGCTTCATTTGGGCACATGAATCTAAACACCACGGTCACTGGTTGCATTGGTTTGAGAAATATCACTGCCACAGCTCCTGTATTTGAACACCTGGTCCCCAGTAGGCGGCACTACTTGGGGAAGTTATGGTTAGGGAGTGTATGTAGCCCTGCTAGAGGAAGTGCTCACCTGGAAGAAGGATTTGAGGGCTTTATAGTCTCCCTTACTTCCCGTTCTCCTACTTGCTTCCTGTATGTAGATGAAAATGTCCCTGTTCCTATTCCAGTCATCTTTCTGCCATGCTTCCCCCATCTCTGTAGACTGTATTCCTCTGCAACTGTAAGTCAAAATAAACTTTCTCCCTTAAGCAAGTAGAGATGGTATTCCCAGAACAATCAGGCTAGCAAGACTAGCCATACTGGTGAGCTCTGAGTGTAGGAAGCAGGGGAATCCCTGAGCGGATGTATATTGGTGGCGTGGGCACAACAATGCCATTGACTCCAATACCTCAGCCCCATGGGAATGGCCAAGCCTTACCCAAGTGATGCTCACCTACAGAGACTTCCCTGTGCTGTACCTAGAAAGTACACTGAGGTTCTGGGTGGTCAGGGGTGGTGGGTGGCTTCCATTGAGCGAACACAGCCCCGCCCAATCCCAGCTTCCCTGTACCCACGTCTGTATATCTGTCCTTTCTTCGTTACCTCACCGCTCATAATCAGGGTTCCGGGACTGGAGCAGTGCACATCATGGCATCTAGGTTTGATTGAGACAGGGTTGTATCAATAATGTAGAAGGATGAACTAAGAGTGACTGATTCCCGGCATCAATCTTGAACTTCCACTAACACACACACACACACACACACACACACACACACACACACACACACACACCTCATAATGCTATTTATAAAATACAGATCTAGAAAGTATGAAAAGGTAGAGACGTGTTAAGTTTCAGTTAAAAAGGTAGCAAAAATTCCAGACAGTGCCTGTCTGTAGGCAGAGAATAGTCTCTGGTTCTGGAAGCCAATACGTGCTCACGGAAGAAAAGGGTTAACTGATTAAGTTTCATAATTTAATAGGAGAGGGGCTGTGATCGATGCTCTGCATCTGTGTCTTAACACAGACATTCATCAAAATATCTTGAAGTCTGCCTGCTGCATACATGACAGCCCAGGATGGATTTGCAGCCAACACAGAGTAGAGACTAATACATCAACGTCCTCCAGGACTCAGACCTCCAGTGCCTGTCACTGTGTCCTCGTATTATCTCTGGCCTGCCCAATGCCATTACCAACAGCTCAGAATCCACACTTACTAAGATTACACACTGTCTGTGCTTTAAGGGGAAGGGTACACTGGAAGACTCACTGAAATCCAGGAGCCACGTGGCCACAAGTGTTCACGTCAACATGACGCTGGGAGCCAAAACTCACTGGGTACAAAAGAAGAACAAAATGCTTGCATCCAGATTAGAACTGTACATATACTATGGTCCAGAGCAGGTTGTTACCTTCATCTGAAAAAGTTAATGTTCTCCAGCCACTAAAGAGTACAAATCACCAACAGAGAGACAAAGAGCCATGGAACGCAACAGTTTATCATTTCAGTTTATTCAACAAGATTTGAATAGGTGCTAACCACATGGTGCAGGGCCCAGAGCAGGGCCCAGAGATAGAGATAGAGATAGAGATAGATAGATAGAGAGAGAGAGAGAGAGAGAGAGAGAGAGAGAGAGAGAGAGAGAGAGAGAGAAGATATGGTGTCTACTCTTAAAGGATTCATTCACAGAGTAGTGGGAGCAAGAACATGCACAGATCATTAACGGATGGAAGGGACATTCCAAGTCATGGCTTTCAACAAGGAAAACACTCTCCAGGTGGAAAAGAGAGGCAGGTACCCAAGGTGGGACAGCAGGGCTGAGAGAGCATCTTAGACAACACCGGGGTCGCCTGCACGAGCGAGCTCCAGGATGGTGAGGGCGCTCTGAAATGGAGTCTCAGGAAGGGAGGTTTGGGGGCCATGGGGGATGCTCAAGCTAGAGAGACGGTGAAGAAAGTGATCAGTGTGCAAGGGACATGACGCATATGGAGCTCACGGCGCTGCTCTCCAGTGTCTTAGAGCAAGTGTCTCTCGCGGTTGTCACACAGTAAATACTGAAGTAGATGATGGATGGACAGATGGATGGGTGAATGGAACACTGAGACAATGCAATTACTTATCCTATCTTTACCCAAGGTGGGAAGCAAAGTCTAATTACATTAGAGACAAACTCTCCCAGGCCAGGTTCCACTCCCACCCCACCCCACCCCAGTAAATAGCTTCTTTTCATCTTTATATCTGTTTTATTTTTTATTCTTTTATTCGGTCAATAATTTTTAAAGAAGCCTGCATACAAACACTTCTAATTTATCTAGAAATATTAGAAGACTTGACAACTCCAGACTGCCTGTGCTATGTGGGAATATGTGGGTGTGCCTGTTTCATTAGGGCAAATGTTCACAAATTAGCCATGGTCTCTAGTGTGCTTCTAGTGGAAGCCACTGAATTATGATGGCACAGGAGATAAGGAGACGTCAGAATGACTATTGCTTAAAAAACCAAAACCAAAAACAAAAACGAAGCATATTCCTAGAAAAGGAGGTATGACCATTCAGGCATCTGTACTGGCCTGTCCTTGGGGGTTCTGATAGGATATGCCCTCGGCTGCAGCCACAAGAGTACCACCTGTGCACATTCACTGTGTTCCCTTTAAAAAGAGCCCCGTCTATCCCCCCTCTCTCCCCTTCTCTCTCCTTCCCTCCCTTCCTCTCTCTCCCTCCCTCTTTCTCCTCTCTCCCTCCCTCTCTGTCTCTTTCTCTGTCTCTGTCTCTCTCTCTGTCTCTGTCTCTCTCTGTGTATGTCTCTCTCTCTGCTTCTCTGCCTGTCTCTGTCTCTGCCTCTCTTCTGCTGCTCCTACCACCAGAGGCTGGTCTCCCCTCTCCCCTCCCCCTCTTTCCCCTTCATTGTCCCCAATTTAAAAAAATCCTCCACCCAAGCCCTGTTGAATGGCATCTTTGTCACTCGTGCCACTTTTTAAAAGTACAACACATGTAAGGTACTATGTTCGCCAAAGAACCAAAGCTCCGCCCCTTGGTGACTCGGTCAGCTGACACCTTCATCGGCTGAGGTCCCACCCTTAAGAGGAAAAGAACCAAGAAGGCTTCCGCTAAGAGAAAGCAGCAGCACCGAAGCCTGCCTGGACTGTCATCAACTTGACGGTACTTGGAGCCATGCAGGGGACATAACTCTGGGCCCATCCGTG